GCAGTTTGAGCCTGGACTGAGTTTAGTCAGAGCTATGTTTATAGTCAACCCGGGCTGAAATGTCAGACCGGGCTGAGTGAAATAATCTGAGTGTCACGAAATAGGACAATAAGCCTGTTATGCTTCTTTGAAGCAATCAGATGCTGATTAGTTGACTATTTGACTTGTGTGAGACTGTGGTTATATGTAAAGTATTTAAAGATGAAACAAACACACAGTGTGAGACTGTGGTTATATGTAAAGTATTTAAAGATGAAACAAACATGCAAAATAAAGCCATTTAAACGGTTGTTTTTTCAGCCCGGGCTGAAATTTCAGCCTGGGCTGAAATTTCAGCCTGGGCAGCTCAAACCAGGCCGAAATTTCAGTCCGGGCTGAAACTCTCTCCATCAAGCATCAGCAGATTGTTCAGTTGTTTTGCAATAGGGGTAGCCTTGAAGGTGTCATTATTGCATTAAAACGATAATTGGAACAAAAACTGACTTAATATTTCTATATATGGAATTATTAAATTCTACATGTCAAATGATTCATTCAAGTATTATCGTTTATACATAGAATGATTTTCTACAGTATTCAGTGGCAATCTAGCTACCATGGCAACTGGTCATGCCATGCCAATAAACCTGTATCTATTTGAATAATGCAAATCATTATATTAAAAGCACAGAGTAGAGACATACAGAGACGTAACTAGTGTACCCACTTTTTTGTGCGCATGCTCGGCAAGTTACTAGATGCATGCATCTGATTGGATGACGACCTGATGACGACTCACTTTAAACTTGCTGAGCACGCGCAGTTGATCATTTTTCGCCCGGTCGCCTGAAAAAAGTGGGTACATGATAACGTAATCTTTCGCAGTGTTTACAACGGTCAGTTACGTCTCTGTATGTCTTATCTACTCTGTGTTAAAAGCTTACATAGCGTGACCTGTTGCTATGTCAGCTTCACCACAGATGAAGTATATACCAGATGTGTAACTTAATAGGACTTCGTGTCCTCAAATTTCCCTAGATGTACACGTCATGCGCACGCCATGACACTTGCTAGCAAAATGGCGTCCTGGAAAACACGAACGTTTGCATATTATTGCGGCTTTTTTGCATCGAAATTTATGGATTAGACAATCAAGAGCATCATTTGTTCAATGTTCAAAGTTGTTAAAAGCAATTAAAGTTGTGGAAAAGGTGTTGAAAGCATTTTGAAAGCAATGACGTATTGCCAAATGACGAATTGTCACGCGAGCGACACTTGCTAGGAAGATGGCGACCGTGGGACAACTTTTTTACTGAAGTTACACATCTGTTCTTACTTAATCTATGGCTTCACAGGCTGACAGTGTTATAATTATACATACAAAAGCAAGAAGTTATAAGCATTGAATGTATTCATATACATTTAGCTGATCTTTCGACTTTTCCTGTTTACATGATGGAAGTTGGGATGATTTTTGATGTATTGGAATAAGTCACTAGGCTAAACAAAAGTTCAAATGCTTGTTAACAGAACTCAAATATTGTAGACAAGATCTTGTAGTTCAAAAAGATTATAATTGCTGCTTGAACAACCTTTCGTTTACAGTAACTATAATCTATCTCTAGAAAAGTAATGTTTTTGCTGAATTGTGCACTGTGACTCATTTCAATACATCGAAATCATCCTGCCTCATATCTCGTCTTGGCGAAGCGGGATCGTATAAACAGACCCTTATTCAGCAAATTGCGCATGGTGCCATCCCTTGGGGGTGAGGCAGCATTTTCCTTGCGATAGTAACTTCTAGTTAGAGTTAATAGATTTATAACCAGTGTAAGTTGAGCTTGCAACCAAAGTGACGTCATAAATTAGCGGACATATTCACACTCATTTACATAATAAAACAAATTGAAATATCTCAGGAACAAACCATAAAAACAAGAAACTGAAAAATAAGTTACACTATAACTTAAAGAGTTCTTTCATTCAAGAAAATAAGAAATTTCATGTCATATGCACTTTAAACGACCCACAAATAGTAAACAGAAAACACCCGTATCCGGTTTTTTTTACGTGTTACCATGGTTTACCGCGGGGGAACCAATGACATATATATATATATATATATATATACCTGGACTGCTTGCTCGGCCTCGAAAAGCGTGGTCACAATATGGTGGAAATATGAGAGTGATTGCTCATGGAGTCGACCGCTGACCAGTGCTCAAGAACTGAAAGTACTTTGCGTCAGCTTCAATTTGCCACGCAGCCTTCAGTCAAAAAGTATGAGCAAGCAGTCCAGATTAATGGGTAGAAATTACAAGTAAACATGCTGACATCGGCAAAAATTGGTAAATAAAATGGCGATACTCATGCCCGTAAACCGGAAATCTTATAACCACTCTAATGAAAACAGGCGTTTCTTTCGATATTCGAGATTTGGTTGAAGGATACCTGAAAATATGGAAGAGGTTATTTCGCTGGCCTCAGAGTGACAAAACGTAACAAAGCAACGGTTTTACTAACCCTATTCCAAACTCTAACCCTAACCTAACCCTACTCCAAGTTTGTTTCTAAACCAATCTTGAAGAAACTAAAGTTTTGAGGAAATGTCATTCTGAGGTCAGCGAACTAACCTTTCCCGAAAAATATAGGAACGACTGCGTTTCGAATGATTTTCCCTAGAAGTTAGTGACCCTCACTCCACTTTATAAATTCTTAATTCGTGAAGGATATTCTTAATTTTTTTAAATATTCCTGAAAACAAGCAGTAAGACTCCCCCTTTTAATTTGCTTTTAAAATAAACAATGACTTTGGAAAGCCAAACAAGCATGGTTGTGAAACACCGTTTAAAACCGCCTTTCGTACAACCAGCTCCATTATGGGTAAAACTAAAAGTGAAAATATCTGGGTAAATACTCTAATTTTTCTTCTATATCTCGCTCGATCATATGCATAGTTAATGGCAGAGATGGTTCGGAAACTCATTATCTAACTAATGTTAGTCAACGTTGAGGCAAAATTTTCTCAACTTTGCTATGAAAACGAATCCTGGATCCTGATGAGGAAATTATTGGGGCGGGGGGGGGGGAGGGGGCGCTTCCGACGGCCTTGTAGCTAACTTTCCTAAAACATTGCTATTGAGTAGTTGGGCAAAAACTCCAATACGCACGTGACGATGAAGGAACATATTTCTGAATAAATCTTAACGTAAACATAAATTTGTAATTTTAACGAGTTTACAAAGAACAGTGGGTTTGGTGAATACATTTCAAAAGATGTTACTTGACGTATCCCACTTACCAGTACACGTTTGCAAGATGGCGGCTGCAAAACAGCTGAGATGTTTAGTCACTGGAGGTGCTTCTGGCTTAGGTAGAGCAACAGTACAACGTCTCATACAGAAACATGCAGCCAAGGCAGTTATCTTAGATCTTCCTTCAAGTAATGGTGAAAAGGTGGCAGAGGAAATTGGAAAAGACTGCTATTTTTGCCCTACTGATGTAAGTGCCAAGTGGTGCCGGGTCACTGGTGGAAATAGAATATGTGGCCGAGGCTGTACCATTTAGAACTGGTGCTGATTGCGCAGTATATAGTGTCTATAGTCTAAAGAGCAAGTATAGAATAAAATAGCGTTCATGTTGCTTTCAGGTGGTTACACAACCTTTGATTATACACTGACAGGTCTCAATTATAAACTACTGACTAGACTACTGTGGATAGTTTGATGTAATAGTTCGTATTTGTGTAACTGAGGTTCGATCAGGCAAGATATTGATGTTTTCTATATATTTGCTATTTAATATCATTTAATCAATTTACTCGATTACTGTGCCAATTAACATTAATTGCACACGTGTGGTGATTGAAGATTAATCAAGGTTTCATCTTGCATGGACATTTGGATCTTTGGTTCTTAATTTGAAAACAACCTGGCTGATTGTGGGATGAGAAATTCTAAAATTTTTAATCGTATGCACGGATCGAAACATCAAGAAATTACAGTGTTTGAAAGAGCGTAGTCAAGCAAGAGAGTGCATGCACATGAAGCATTGTAAAGAACACTAATTTACTATCATATTCATGTGTCATACAGTGGCGCATACCCCCCCCCCCTACCCCCTTCATGTTTTTCAGAGTATAGTAATTTGAGTTTGTTCAAATCCAATGACAAATTGGTGAGGGCTGGGAAATTGTAAGTAGACAACATTGCGTGTCATCATGCATTTTGGGGGTCAGATTTAAATTTTTATAGAATAGATAGATAGATAGATAGATAGATAGTTTAATGATCCCAAAATTTACAGCCAAAATTGAGCTGAATTAGATTAGGAATTTACAATAACATCAAAAATACAATTAAAAGATCTAAGTACGACTAAACTATGTACAATTACTATAAAAAAAACTGTTCTGAAGTCTGTTAGTTTTACAGACAGGAACTTGAAATTTACGAGTATTCCTAAGCTTAAAATTACATGTATTTAACTTCGGTAAAAATCGATATAGTTTATGTTCTGAATTATTACTAATTTCCTGAAAAAGGTTAGTTGTTTGAGTCTGTCTACGAATATACACTGTCTCTAATTTAGCGAGTTCTAATGCTTCAAAATAAGAAACAAATGGGAAAATAATTCTCATGGCGCGCTTCTGTAGGGCTTCAAGTTCATCAGACAAATATTTGGGCA